CCCCCCCCCCCCCATGGACTTTGCTCGTCATGAGGTCGCAAAAGAGGATCGATCGCGTGACTGAGGACTCTGCGACCGTCATAAACACGAGCCAGTTGCCCACGTCTGAATTTTGACCATGGGCATGTTGCAACGGGCGTTAAGTGTGAAAAAGGGTCATAAGTCACTTTTTTCAGTGGCGTTGTAACTTTGAACGGTCTAAACAAGCTGTTCTGAGTCGAGGAATGTCTGAAATGGTAACAGGGTCTCCTGCCTGAGCAGGGGTTGGACTAGATGACCTCCAAGGTCCCTTCCAGCTCTATTCTGATTGAAATGGTACCAGGGTCTCCTGCCTGAGCAGGGGGTTGGACTAGATGACCTCCAAGGTCCCTTCCAGCTTTATTCTGATTGAAATGGTACCAGGGTCTCCTGCCTGAGCAGGGGGTTGGACTAGATGACCTCCAAGGTCCCTTCCAGCTTTATTCTGATTGAAATGGCACCGGGGTCTCCTGCCTGAGCAGGGGGTTGGACTAGATGACCTCCAAGGTCCCTTCCAGCTCTATTCTGACTGAGGATGACCTCAGTCAGAGGGCAGGGCTTCGAGTGGCAAGAATTAAGGTGGAAGGAAAACGGAGGCTCATGAGGACTAGAAACTTCCAACCAACCCAAAGTGCTTTTACTGCCTCTCTGCCCTGAAATTAAAGTCCTGCCAGGGCAGGTTCTTTGCTGCTTCTGTCCTTCTCCATCCTGCTGTGGCCCCTTTAAGGCAGCTCAGAAATACATCCCTGTTTGTCTAAAAGGGTATTGATTGGAAACTGATCCCTGGCTGTCTCACAGGCAGCTAATGGGCCCCATTCCTGCAGAGGATGATCAATCAGGAATAGGAACCCTGGAGATATCTGAGCCCAAAGGGGGGGGGGGTAGCAAAGGGAGAGAGGCCCATGGCAGTGTTGGAAGCGAAAAAAAGGCAGGACAAGAAGCAACGGGTGGAAACTCATCAAGGAGAGAAGCAACCTGGAATTAAGGAGAAACTTTCTGACAGTGAAGACAATTAACCAGTGGAACAACCTGCCTCCAGAAGTGACGAATGCTCCAACACTGGAGGTTTTTAAGAAGAGACTGGACAGCCATTTGTCCGAAATGGTATAGGGTTTCCTGCCTGAGCAGGGGGTCAGACTAGAAGACCTCCAAGGTCCCTTCCAACATCATCATCATCATCATCATCATCATCATCATCATCATCATCATTATTATTAGCCTCTGCTCAGGCAGGAAACCCTATACCCGTGGTGGCGAACCTATGGCACGGGTGCCAGAGGCGGCACTCAGAGCCCTCTCTCTGGGCACGCACGCCATCGCCCCAGTCCTAGGCCTTCAGCTGGGTTTTATAAAACCTTTTTGCTTTAGGCCTCCGCCGCCGTGTGCAAAAAAAAAAAAAGGTTCAATCAATCCATCAATTTCAACTTCTCGTGGGGAAAAAACAAAGATCTCGCAAAGTTGGAACTGATTGACTGAACTTTTTAGTCCCACCCAGTCTGCCGTTACCACCGCAGCCACGCCCACCCAATGGGCCACGCCCACCCAACGGGCTACACTCACTCAATGGGCCACGCCCATCCAACGGGCCACGCCCGCTCGGCACCTGACGATACCTAAGTGGGTTTTGGGTTGCAGTTTGGGCACTCGGTCTCTCAAAGGTTCGCCATCACTGGTCTAGGGTCTCCTGCCTGAGCAGAGGGCTGGACTAGAAGACCTCCGAGGTCCCTTCCAGCTCTATTCTGATTGAAATAGGGAGCGTGGGATGAAAGCTCAGACTGGAAAAACTCAACAATAGGTCACTTTGGCACCTTCTCTGACAGGCTAGTAGGAGGCACACTTCTGCTCATCCTGATTTGGAGGGGGGCTCTGAAAAGTCCCAATGAAAATAAAAACAAGAGGTGACATGATAGCAGCCTTCCAGTATCTCAGGGGCTGCCCCAAAGAAGAGGGAGTCAAGCTATTCTCCAAAGCGCCTGAAGGCAGGACAAGAAGCAACGGATGGAAACTGATCAAGGAGAGAAGCAACCTGGAACTAAGGAGAAACTTCCTGACAGGGAGGACAATTAACCAGTGGAACAACCTGCCTCCAGAAGCTGCGAATGCTCCAACACTGGAAGTCTTTAAGAAGAGACTGGACAGCCACTTGTCCGAAATGGTGTAGGGTAAGGATGCCCAACCTTCGGAACTTTAAGACTTGTGGACTTCAAGGCTATGCTGGCCGGGGGATGCTGGGAGTTGAAGTCCACAAGGTCTTCAAAGTTCCAAGATTGGATAACTGTGGTATAGGTCTCCTGCTCAAGCAGGGGGTTGGACTAGAAGATCTCTAGGGTCTCTTCCAACTCCGTCATTCTGTTATTCTGCTTCTAACAGCAGACGCATCCAGGAGAAGATGAGCCGGGATTGCAGGAATCTCTAGAACAGCTTTTGGCTTGACGGACCCATAGTCTGTGAGGTTGAAGTTCCTTCTGCTCCAAGGAGAAGGACAAATGGGGGGTCCTGGACCCAGAAAGTCAGCGGTGGAGACAAAGCTGCCGAGAAAAGGGACGGGAGGATGCTCTGTTCCCCTCTTGCATTTGAAGCTGATGAAAT